CCCCCCCCCCCCCCCGTCGCCGGATCCCGCAGCGGCGACCATGTCCCCGCGATATACAGTACTCCGATAATCTTACAAATAATATATCTAACAACGTTAGGTTCATCTTAGATTGCTTTCCATGATCACTCCAACTCTGTCTCGAGAGGCTGAACGCGCACTGGTCGCGGTCGATCGTGGACGGGCGCCGTCGGAAATGGAATAGCGAGTGGTCGATCATGCTCGCGGCGCCCAGCCGGCCGTCGACCAGTGCACGCAAGACTCCTGGCCAAAGATCATTGCTACCATAGTGCTCCTCCGTGTCTTTGTCCTTTTCGTCCGGTTCGCCTCCGCGACAATACGCCCGCCACTCTCATCGGCGCCTCTCCTAATAACTTTCTTCAGACGATAGATAGGTTATACTGCTATTCTTCTTTTTACGTATCGTTTCGACGTGACACACGCACACCCTGATTCGAACATCCTCTCGCAGCAGGCATTCGAGGAGCCGGTCGCCCCCGGAATAGTCTCGAGCGTCGTCCGAGCCGTTTCCGTCGTCGCGGCCGGGTCTCGTCCAGTCGACGGATAGACGCAGATCGTCGTAGATCGTCGCAGATCGTCCTAGATCGTCGTAGATCGTCGTAGATCCGAGCCCACTCCGATCCGAGCCGATTTCACGGCACACGATTCTCGCCCCTCTTACCATTCGAAACTTAAGTCTTAAACCTTACGACGTAATACTATTCAATACTTGTTGAAGCTCATAATAAGTACATATTTGAGGATTAAGTTACCGATTACTGTGTTAATCTTACGCACCTACTCGCATCTTTCTCTCTTTCTTTTTCTCTCTCTCTCTCTCTCGCTCGCTCGCTCTCTCGCACATAATTACTCTTACATTCGTTAGTCTTTTTCTCTGGTTGGCTTTCACACGATCGTAGCACTCGTTCTCTTTCACTATCTGACAGTGTACCTTTGTATGCCGTCGACGCGATAGATACAGAACAGAAAATCGTCGAACTCGGTGTGTATCGAAATCTCTGTACAAGAATAACTAACGTAATCGCGACCCGGTGATCCGCGATCGGCCCGTGAGACGCGGACCGACGCCGACGCCGACGCCTCGCGTCGCGTCGATTAGGGTTATCAGGGCGTCGGACGGCGGCCGAAATGGCGGCCGCGTCGCGAGCGTCTCAACGATACGAACGTGTTCCTATTTACAAACTGAACGGCAGAAAACAGCGAAACTATCACCGACGCGGCTCCGTTTTCTATCCGGCTCCACCGTCTTCGCGACTTCTCGTTCTGATTCGCACCTCGCCACTATATACTACTATACTTTTATAGCCTACTCGTACGTCTATTTATGATGACGAGCCGAGCCGCTGCGGGCACAGCGACCCTCCCACGGATTGTTTAATACAGCACCGGTATGCATCCATCTCCGTCGGAGCTGGGCAGTCGGATTAAACAATTGCAGAAACGATCGGAGCATCGAGCGAGTACACGGTTTTACCTGCCGGTCGAGAAGACGCGGACAAAGCATTTGGCTTTCTCGCAGTTTGTTTTGCGATTTCGTCGCAGATCAAAATTCTGTTCCGCTAGAATTCGGATGCCTCAAAAGTAGCCGAAGGAAACTGTACGAACTTGAACGATCCAGTACGCGGACAACGATAGGCAAAATAAATTCGCGAATCATTCGACGGATCCTTCGATAATATTTTCAAATCTTCCGATCGAGAATTGGGAATTATTATCGGAAAGAAGCTTTTCGATGCAGCGCGGAGAAAAATGGTGTACAGTCGAATGTTACTTATTCGATGTATTCTTCCACTGTAGAACTGTCCAAGGGCGATGCGACGGGAGACGGGCGCTACAGTTTGGAACACGTACGGTCGAAGTCAACCTCGCGGGTTACAACTGCGAGGGTAACGAAACCACGCCTACTCGATGCATTTTGCGCAGAAAGAGCACGACAGTATTTTATCGTCGTCGAATGCGAAATTGGCGGTATCGAAAGCCACTTTGACTTAACATCGATTACCCGAAGCAGCGTTTCCACGTTACAAAGAATTGTCGCTTGTTAAAAAAATGTATTCGGAAGAAGCTACGATAAAAATGGTCTTTCTTAAAAGAGGTAAAAGCCTCGTCCAGACCTTCGCGAGCGAAAAGATAAAACGGTTCGGCTTTCGTTCGCTGCTCGAAAGTCTCGTTCTTCTACAGAACGTGCCCGGCTCCGATCTCCGTTGGTAGAAGCGATCGGCGATCGTCGCTCTACGCTGATTAAAAGTAGATTTAAACTAGCGCTCTTTCTACGTGTACGCGATACAAAAAACAGATTTCGAAAGGATTAAAAATACGAGACGAAACGAGGGGGATTAATTAAAAGGAAAGAGAGCTGGGTGAAACGAAAACTTGCCGCGAGTCGTCCCTCGCGTTCAACGGTCGCGTCGTTCCGGAGAGAAACAATTTTCATTCGCCTTTTCCGTCCTCCTTTCCTTTCATTTTCATTTTTTATCGTTTATAAAAATACCATGCGCTATCGCGATCCTATGTACACACAGTCGTTCCCGGACCGGAAGAAAAACGAAATTCCGACGGCTCGTCGCCGGACGCCGGTTCGCGAACGGTGCTGCTCTCGGCCTCGGAGAAACGTCGCGTCGCGTCGCGTCGGAGAAACCAATTGGAGAGCGATCGCCGACGTTAGTCCCTCCGTCGAACTTTCTTGCTTCGGCACGAACCGATCGTCTGCCCGGTTTCACCCGCGATTCACGACTGTCTACTTGATCGGTCCGCTGGTCCGCCCAGGACCCCGAGATCCGAGATCCGGTCGAACGGAAACTGTCGAGCACAACCGGGGATATTCTATTTCTAGGCTCAGAGGTATATGCGATTATGGTTTTCTTTCTTTTTGCACCGGATCGGCGAGAGTCGACCGGATCGGCGATTATTCACGCCGGACCGTTTCGCGCGTCCACGCGTGCAATTAGAAGCGGAAATAAACGTACAACGATCCTAAAACGAGCTAACCTTTTCTTTTTTTCTTTTTTTACGAAGGATCGCGGATCATAAAGAAAACGACACGGAACAAGTTTACGTCTGTTAAATGCTGACAAAAGATTTCCCTCGCGCAGCGAAACGGTTCAAGACAGAATTGTTACTTCAATGTGCAGCTTACAAAATATACGTCATCAGACTGCGGATCTTCGTGCGCGTTATCAAGATCATTTTAGGAATGTTCAAATCAAGGGGAAATTGCCTCTTCCAACCAGCAGATTTCTTGTGGAAAAAATGATATAAAAATACCGTTTGCTTTTGATAGTATACAGGATTCCTCGCATTCTTAAATTTTGTGCATGCGCGCACAACGATCTGCAGTCTGTGCATCATAGTCGACTTAGAAACGCTCTTTTCTTTTTCTTCCTCAAACTACGTCTATCTGTCATTACTTTGGACAAAATTCGACCTGTACTCTTGCCCAGCCACCGGAGATTTATGATCTGACAACGACATTCATGTGGCGTGTATAAGTGAAATCGAGAGAATATATAATGTTTGAAGCATTTCTTTCAGATTCGAAGTTTTGTACACTTATTTCCGACTCCCGTTGCGTTTCAGCACGAATGCGCGTGTTCCGCGAATTCTGAATGCGTTCATGGGTCACAGGAAAGTTAGTGCGAACGTTTCGGGATTGTAGTAGGCCTTACCAATTTCCAGCACGCATCGAACGCGCCTGCGTAGCACCTTCACAGTTCTCGACAATGATAATGGCAATAGTGATACTGGGTAGTGTTTTACTAGTTACAGCGTTTCACGAGTGGTAGCTCGGTCGCAGTGGCACGCGTAAAAATGTGTCTTCGGTGAAAGAACGAACGTTCGATCATCGAATCATCGTATTCGCAACGTCGCGCAAGAAATCGAGAAGAATATGGTAAAGTACCGTTTCGATCGTTCGGAAAGGAATTTAACAATGACAAATAAAACTCGAAGGAACGGAAAAGAGATAAACTTGAACTCCTAATCCCTTACCGGCTAAACCGAAACAGCAACTATCTTCATTATCTCCTAGAAGACAGATCGATAGGAGACTATCCACGATAAAAAAAGATACAGAATAAAAGGACCAATACTTACGAAATCATCCACGTCGGACGAATAAAAACTTACCTACACTATTGTTCACTGGAACAAGCGTCACGAGCGTACGCTCTTCGAAAATTCTTGTTCTCGTTTCGATCGCTACAGGCGTGTCTCGACAACCGATCGATTCGGCAGCAAAATTCCTCCTTCTTGTGAAATCCACAGAAACGCGAAAGGGAGCGCGACGCTTGTCAAACTTGAGCCGAGAAACCAAGAAGCCCGGATAAGTTGCGATTTTCATCGAACCACTGCGAACGGGCCGCGATATGTTAACCTACGGGTTAGGAACCGAATGTCCGAGTGTCGATCAGTCTACGCCCTACGAGAAACACGAGGAAAGTAAACCGCGACGGCAACGAGAAACGAGCGTTCGTCGTGTCGCGATCGAAGGGGATCGCGCGAGTCGAAGACAGACGGCGGTGCTTGTCGCGCGAGCCTGGCAACGTGATATGAGAAAGCTAACGAAGCTATAGAAAAGGTCGCAGTTCCGCGACCAGGTCGCCGGTATAATAATCTCATGTGTAACCTGCGTGACATTCGGGAACGCGGCGCGCTCGACGCCGCGTTCCTCTCGCACCATTCATCCGCTCCGCGAGTCACTGTACACGGCACATACACATACATACACAGCCTCTCCGACTACTTACAAGTCACCGTCGTTGCCACCACCGCCATCCGATCGGCCGAAACCACGCCGAAGACTCGTGCGAATCTCCCAGGACGCGGGCTCTTCGCGGGAATTCCAGTTTTCCTCGTTAGCGTCGCGGTCCCGCGGCGCGCGTTCCGCTTCCAGCCGCCGAGGAAGTCGCGTCCACTGTTCGGCAACGCTACGGCGACCCTCTCCGAATGCCGCGACGTTAACGAGGGAAACTGCCCTCGGATGGATAAGACGCTGGCGAGAACGTTCGTCCGAGATCCCGTCGCTCGTATCACAGATCTGAGAAACCGAGGGGACCGATTTCCGGTTGATGGACGGTTCGCGGACGGACAGCCTCGACGCGGGCAAAAGTCCCTCGCTATCGAGTCCGGATGATGTCCGCGATAGCATTTCTTCCTTAACGTCGCTGCTGCTAATTAGTCGGGACGATAGTTGGGGACGTTAAGGAACGATCGTTGCCGGTCGAACAGCGTGCAAACCTTCGCGAGAAGAAGAAGCGTCGAGGCAACAACCATTATCGACTCGTGCCTCTTCGTCTGCTCGGCGATATTCCTCCCGAAAATAACTCCCATAGCTCTCAGCCGAAGTCGAGGGACCTTTACCGTTCCTTCTGAGGAACGACGCGTCGAGGAACACCGCGCGGTCTCCCGCGGATTCCCGTCTCGCCGAGCCGCGCGCCGTCCTCCGCGCGGTTTCCGCCCGAAGTCGCGAGCCTCGTCGCGATCGCGCGCGTTGTCGCGATCCTTCGTCTGCTCCGGGCTATTTACAGAAACGAGAAGCGGAAGCGAATCTGCTTGAGGTGGGCAAGTGGCCGGATGCGCGATCTCGGCCGAACCGAAGACGACGCGACGACGCTAACGTTTCGTTCGCATCGATCGCGGGGAGCCTCGAGGAACCGTGGCTGGTCGGGCAAGTCCAGTCTCTGTGTTGGATCACTCGATCGGCGGCTCGAGGTCGCGCGAGCAATAGGTACGAGAGGCTCGTTCGATCGATCGAGGATGGACGTCAATGGTGGACGAGGCGATCGTCCTCGCCGTTTCGGACGTAGATATACGGTTCTGCCGGCTGGCTCTCTTGATGCGGACGCGTTTCGCTGGTCGGTGTTCACTTGGTCGAAAGCCCGTCGGTAGCAAGGAGGACAAAGGCAGTGGTGTAACCGGTCAGAAGGAGACTGAGGTGACTCGTCCGACTGGTCGTGGATGGACCGCGATTCTTCGGCAGGACGCTTGCACGCAACATCGCGCCGGGGTCTCGGCTCGACGAGGGCTCCAACGATCGGCTCCATCAGACCAGGGGGGTCCCGTACACCTCGTTCGTGTGCAGATTTTGATTGCTGTCGTTCTGCCTCGAGGCGCATTGCTGCAACAGACGGGAGCAGAACGGTTCCTGAAACAACCGCGCCACTGAGAAGCAAGGCTTGTCTAACGAACCCTTGCAGGAAGCTTTTGCATCAGGAGCTTGAAGCTTCCCCTCGTTCTTTTTATCAGGAAATACTTTTGCTATTTACCAATTTACCTTTGCAAAGTTCTACGTTTTCATCGGTGCAAAGAGATTCTACGTAAAACGAATCCGAATGTTTCGGTCGTCGAACTTTGTTTGGGGCATTCTCTAAGATTGTAACATTGGGTGGCAAAGTAAAGACGGCTCCACCGTTTAACCCTTTGCACTCGAAGCTATTTTAACTGTAAATATAAAATCATTTTTGTCATACTTATGGTATTTTTTATTTTCTATGATAAAATGCATTTTATGCATATGAAATTGATTCTTGGGACTCACACAACAGTTACATTCTTAACAATTTTTTAAATCTAAACTTTGTTAATATAAAAATTATCTCAAAACGCGATATAACAAATGCTGTCTCTTATACACATCTAGATGTGTATAAGAGACAGCATTTGTTATATCGCGTTTTGAGATAATTTTTATATTAACAAAGTTTAGATTTAAAAAATTGTTAAGAATGTAACTGTTGTGTGAGTCAGATGTGTATAAGAGACAGGTTTAACCCTTTGCACTCGAAGCTATTTTAACTGTAAATATAAAATCATTTTTGTCATACTTATGGTATTTTTTATTTTCTATGATAAAATGCATTTTATGCATATGAAATTGATTCTTGGGACTCACACAACAGTTACATTCTTAACAATTTTTTAAATCTAAACTTTGTTAATATAAAAATTATCTCAAAACGCGATATAACAAATGTTAGTGGTGCCTCTGAGTCACCACTCGAGTGCATAGGGTTAAGATAGCATAAGCAAGTTCTTTGGTTAAATTTAACGAAAAGGTTACTTGAATCATTTATTCCTCTTGATATATTTATATTTATTTCACTTATACGTGGAGCAACCCATTAGTACAAAAAAGGAAAAATATATTCAGGCTCGAGCGGAATTAACAAATTTCGAAAATACTATGAAAATGTTAAAATGTCAAAATGAGAGCGTTTTATTTTTATAAAAACTAGATTCGATCTCTCTCCAATTCTACAATTACCATGACCGCGACCGACGCGATATTATGAACCGGTTAACAAATTAGATCCATTATGGGGTTCCAAAAAGAGCTTAGTAAATGAAATTGTTACCACAATTTCGTCAATGAACGTATTAGTTCTGTACTAATATGATTTGAATAGTAATACGACATTAATATTTGCCGGTGCAGAATACGAATATTAATTTTTAACCAACGATACTATTATGAGAGAAATTACAGAGCAAGTGGTTGACGGGATCGCTGCGATGACGTTCATCAACGAAATTCCCTCGAATGTAGGAAATAATTTTCAAAGTGCATTGCGGATCGGTTAAATGCAATATCGGTAGCTGCAGTGTTAACAATTTATTCTGAGACACTTGTTCATTATTAACGAGTTTCGTCAGCGAACAATGTGTAATAACCATTATCCGATTCGATTATTCATGCGGGGGGCATCGACGTATTACGTTATGCAAACATTTACTATAATTTATTTAAATTATGCACGAGCTTAATTTACTGTTGCAGTTAAGTTCTTTCGAAAATGCCAGTTACTTCGGTTAATTAAGTTGATACGTAATGATTACAATTTTCCGATGCAATTAACAAAATTCATTCGACGCACTGCGAATACCGTGCCCCCGCGGAACGGCGACCATATATAAATATGGCGGCGAATAAATACGACAAGGAATACGATTCGACAAACTGGTCGAACGAGATTTTCAATTCTAGGAGAGTTTCTACATCACGCGCATCGACTCACCGCTTGCTTCCTCTCCCAGCTCTTCATGGCGGACTTGTATTTCTCGAATTCGTGGCACCAGTCCGAGTATATCTTCTGATAATCGTTCGATTTGGCCGGCGCTGAACATCTGTGGGCGTCCACGGTGATGTTGTACGAGCACAAAAGCGAGCCACCGAGCCAGCAATCGTATCGTCCGGCGTCTTGTTCGTTCACGCCCACAATCACCAAGCCCTTCTCGGACGTCTCGATGAACTTGTCCCCACCAGCGCCGTACTTGTAAGCTATCTGGTAGCCGCCCTTCTCCTTGCTGTAGTGGTACCATCTGACTTCCTGATCCGCTAACACTTCCGGCATCTTCACGAAGCAGCTCAGATGCACCGATTGTCCCCACGTGACCACCAGCTTCCGCTTGCCCACGCTGCTGTCGCAGACGTCTGCCGTTCTGTTCGACACGTCCTGAAGAAGTCTGCAAAACCCAATACGCATCCTTCTTATCTCTCCTTATCTTCTACCTAAATATTTCTTAAATTCTTAAGAAGACATCAAACTTTCTCTCTCATGCATCGAGACACGAATGATCCATGTTTTCACGAATTCCATCAAATATTTTTATTTCCTTTAACCCTTTCGGTACGAGCGCGTCGTAATGACTGTGCTTAATCCGTTTCTAAATCTTTCTTTAAATGTTTCCTGTAAACATTCTGTAAAGGGCCTACAGAAATATGGCTTACATGGATGCCAGATGTATTCGGCACTCGTCCATATTGGTCATCAGATGGATGCCGGATATATCCGGCGCTCGTACCGAAAGGGTTAATGAGATATTAGAAATGAATCGCTGAACGCCATTTTCTCCGATTAACCCTTAGCGCTCCGCGCGTTTCTCGAGTACTACCTACCAGCAACTCCGGCACATTTTTGGAGCAAAGCGCCTCAGATAAAAGAAGTCTTATTTTGAGCGGAAAAGATTACACGTCCTTGTGAAAGCGTTCGATTTTATTCATTTTATAAATATACATTTTCCTATTGTAAATAAAAGACAAATTTTTAATTTTGCAATTCACCACGGTGTGATATCTTTGGTAACAATCTCCCATATGGATTCTGGGTTTCCTTGGACAAGTGTCACAGTATTCACTTTGCCAAATAGAGTTACTAGATATTTCTTTCAAGTTTAGAACATTTTCCGCGTAATTGTTGGTTTCCTTTATAATTTCATTTACCAATTCGTCCGTGAAAAATAATTTAAAATATTGTATCGGCTGTTCAATGTTTGTAGGAACTTGTGGTCCAATGACCTGTGGCAATACGCTAAAAGGTATTCTATCTGGAATATGTAATTCTTCCGTAACATCGCGCCATTCATCTAAGTCTTGTAACGAATCTTCGCTTTCACTTTCAATAATTCTCATTCTTCGTCTCTTTGGTAGTATAATTTCGCTACTACTACTCGAAGTGTCAGAATCATAACCAACATTGTCTTCCACAATGTCTTTTAACTCTTCAAAATCAAATACGTCTTCGGTATCGCTCGGCTCTAAATTCTCATCGTAATATTTATTTTTCTCCATGTTGCTAAAACCATAGAAAAGGTCAAAAAATGGTTTAATCGTAATGGTACAGACTTAGCACGTTTCGACTACAGATAACAATTGCTAACGCCGACGATAACGTATGCTAAAAACATTTGGCTCCGCAGCGGAGCCTTCGGAGTTACGGAACAAATGACAAATGTCTCCGTAACGGAACCTTCGGAGCGCTAAGGGTTAACACGTTCCGTGCCACGTGTACCATCGATGGTACACGCTTGCATGTTTACTTAGTGAACTGAACAAATTGTTTACAAGAAATTTAGAACCGAAGAATCAATTTCCACCGCAAGAATGGGCGTTGATAAGTTTTTGTTACGTTGTTACGTGTACGAGAATTAATAATTGCACGTAATACATCAAGTTTTAGTAAAATATCAAAGTGCGAAGATTCGAGTAAAAAAAGCTCGGCACGGAACGTGTTAATATTTAAGACTCGTTTCTAGCCGAACGAAGCTGGATTTTCCAAGAAGAAAATGAACAACGGATAGTTTCGATAACTAAGATTGAACTTTTGCGAATGGAAGTTGCAAAATTATGAAACAGTCCCGTATCAGATTTGCGATCGTTCGCGACCGAGGGATGATTTAAGGACTTACCCGGGTCTGTAGGGCATGCAGGTGTTCACGTCCTTGTCCCAGCCGCAGTAAGGGTCGTGAACGCAGCGAAGACAGTTGTCGTACCGTCTCGTGCACATCACCAAGTCAATTTGCTTTATTCTGTGATCGGACGCGACGTAGAGGGCCTTGTGCTCCTTCGAGATTTCCATCGCCTGGATAGGCTCGCCCGGCGTCACGTCAAAAACGTCCAACAGGATGGACTGCGAATCCCTCTCGCCCTCCATCCATTGAACTACCTTGTGTACACGTCCGTCGCCTGTAACACGAAGCAACGATCCCTTTGTACACTGCTAGTTCGGACAGCTGACGGGCAGCGATACGGTCAAATCTACATCGATATGAATTCACCGACAGCCTCGTAACCTTCCGATAACAAATTTGTTTCTGTCGAACCCTCCGTACTTCGTCAAACTGCGCACTTACATCGGACACGCGAGCAAACGAAACACAAAACAATGAGAACGTGAAAAGAAGTGTATCGGTATGCTGCTACGTTATTTTCGATTTACCGAATTTAGCGATAGATTACACCGTATGGTTAAACAAACTTCTTAGTAAATTTTTAACGTACAGATATAATCGGCGTTTGTACCGGTTGTAAATCATCTGCGTTAATTAAAGAATCTCGAGTAGGTAGTCTCGAGGATATATTGATTTTCAGAAAATTCTACGAGCACTGATTTTTAATTCAGATAAATTTCGAAACAGTTTTCGTAGGTCACGCTAACCGCGTTCGTCTATTTTATGATCACCGTAGAACCATTCTGGATTATGTCAGCTTGTACGGCAATATTGGAGGGTCGACTACACACACAGCTTCGAAACAGCATCGGCGATAGCGACAGCAGATGATACGACTCAACTGCAAGAACCTCCGAGTTAGTGATTATCTTGCCGAGTTTGCCCATGACAAATCAGGATTACGAAATTCGCGCGAAATGGTTCACAGACGCGTAATTCCCATTAAATTCCCTTCCGTAATTTAGTTTGGTTCGCGGCCGTTGTAAATTTACCGCCGCGTTGACAACCGAGAAAACATTTATAGGAAGCTTGTATCGTTGCATCTACTTTGCAAGTGCTACATCGTTCGCATGCTACTTCGCACTGCCTTAACATTAAACCTACCGAGGTCTAAAAGCGACTAAGTGCTGCATTATAAGAATTACGTTACAGGATTTATTGAAATTTTTCACGATTCTTATAATAACGTGTGCCTGAATAAATAAACAAGTTCAACGATTTCTAATGGAAGCAGCTTTTCGACTTCGACAATTATGAAATAAAAAATGCGAAATCAGTCATTTAACATTAAACCTACCAAGCAGTAATACTAACTGGCATGTACTGCTTCACAAAAGTGAGAAGACCGAATTTATTTAGAATTTGTAAAGTTTTTGTTATAAAACGTGCTCCAATGATATAACTTATTCGAGCGTTTTCCACGAAAGAGTCTCGGAACTTTTCAGAATTGCAAAATAAGAAAGCGGTCACTTTGACCGCGGTAGGTTTATTTAGTGTTAATCGGCGGTAGATTTAGTGAATCATGAAACTTCTTTTCTTCCTTCAGTCATTATGAATAATTACAAAAATAAAACAAGAGAAACTATCTTCCCAGTTAGCAAACAAATAATGAAGTAATATAAAAGTGTTCGCGTGATTCTAAAAGTAGATTTAATCTATCGGAATGCTATCAGGAAAGGAGGCAATCGATGTGAATTGTAATTTTTTAAAGGAACTGTTCGAATACTTACTGGAACCAGCGTAGTAGACCGTGTACTCCTGATCCGACTCAACGAAATCGATGCGTAATTTATCGACGACCAATCGCGTGAGCATCACGTCGCGCTTATAGAACACCGGTTTCTCGTTCTCATGGGATATCGCCGAGTCCATTAGCGGGTGAGACCGTATAAAGTTCAAAACGAGGTCCGGGAAGGTCTCCGTGTCGTTTATGCACTGGCCGGGTCGCGGATCAGGAACTTTGTTCGAGAGCACCGGAAGCCAGGCGCTGCTGCTGGTCGCTTGGTCTTTGAATTTACCTCGGAACGCTTCTTGGATCGCGTCGATATGAAACGAGCAGATCGCCGAGCCCATTAATCCGTTCGTCGAGGTTGTGAACGTGCCGTAAAAGTGCGTGTCGTCGCCCGGTACCTTGTAAATGCTCTCTGAAAAAACGTGAATGCGACCGTAATTAATTTTCCCTGTTGCTGCATATACGCTCTTGACAGAGAACCGACGTTCTGCTTCAATCGCGATCAATTTCTATCGACTTCGATTGCTGCCAGACTGCCTGCGTCTATGCAAAATTCGTGTTTCGCGGAGAAATCCTAAAAATATCGTTTCTCTGTACGACGCTATTAGCATTTAACTGATTGCTTTTAATTTCTGATAAGCATATTTTTGATAAGTGTATTTCTGGTAAGTATAACGATTCGTAGTGTAGCGAATACTATACAGGGTGTCCCAAAAATGTTTCGCAATCCGTTAGTAGGGGATTCCTGAGGTCATTTGAAGCAACTTTTTCCTTAGCGAAAATGCAATCCGCGGTTTCGTTTGCGAGTTATTAACGGAAAACAGTGACCAATCAGAGGCGAGATCATTTGGCGCGAGACAGCCGAGCCAATGAGCGGAACTGGGCTCCGTGCACTCGTTGGCTGGGCCGTCGCGCGCTAGCCGAGCTCGCCTCTTATTGGTCAGTGTTTTTCATTAATAACTCGTAAACGAAGCCTCGGAGAAAGTTTTCGCAAAAGAAAAAGTTGCTTCAAATGACCGCAGGAACCTTCCATTTACGGATTGCGAGACATTTTCGGGACACCCTGTATAACGTGTGAACGTTGGAAAGTTCGATTGACACAACTATTTCGATTTAAGCAACGCAATTGATAAGCGAATATCTAAGTTCAAGTTGCAATAACTACATAGAAGTTCGATTAATCTCTGGCTTCGCAACTTATTCCTGAAAGGATCGGCACAAAATTTCTGCTACTTACGTATCTCGTTGAAGTAGAACGGAAATTCGCCAGGTATCGAGCAGTTCAACCGAGCCTTCAGGTATGTCGACCAGTTTTGAGACAAGATATTCTTGCCGCCGGTGTCCTTTTTGCAAACTCTCGCCACTCGGGAATACACGCTTTTGCCGCAGTTTATGTATTCCACCGCAGTCTCGCGGAAGAAAAAGAACACGTGGCTGCCGATGTCGTACGAGCCCACGAAATTCGGCTCTGGAACAAACAAGTGGAAGTTTTCGGTGACTATCGATTCCAATAACTTCGATAACCAACAAGCAATTAGTAATATCTAGACGTTATTTCATCTTCGAAAGCTCCACCTTCGTTGTCCACACATGAAATGGAAGTTTCGAAGTTTTTGGTAATTAATTTTTGGTAATTAATGTTTGCTAATCTTCATCCTGTATATTGAGATAAAAATCTTCGCATGTTAAGAATATTTCGAGAGAATGAGTTCATTACGTCGAATTTCTAACGATACGCATCAACGTCTAAAAGTTAATTTCAATATTATTAGGCTGACCAGGAATAGTAAAAAATTCTGGAGACATCAGAAGAATGAAATAATATTGTTGCACTATCTTCGATTCACTGAAATTATTGAAAGCTTCATTTCTTTTTTTAAATTTCTGTTCATTACAATTGACTCGAATAATTTTTATTTTCCATAAAGATCCGCCGCCTTATTATATTATTGTACAATCAAACAGCATTGTTTGACATATTCCAACTTCGCGTAGCCGCTCTTCCATGGAGAATGTTATTATTAAATATTTGAGTGATTCGAGTCACGTCGAACGGAATTTTCCAGGCGGGAAACCCGCTCGAAATAATCAAATCGAATATAGCTAAACTGTTTTGGAATCGCGTCGCGGTATGAAAACGAACGGCTGAAAAATTGAGAAACCGTGTTGCACGTAGGGTACGTGTACCTAGACGAATCCAATTCGTGCCCGGCAGCGGGCGGTGGGCGGCGAATTTTATGGAAATATTAAAGTCTCCCGTAAAAATCAAATTGAATTCCGTGTCGGAGCCGCCGTCGGCCGGGGCGAAACAGTAATTTCAATGGAAACTGCCGCGGTAAGATTCCGCGCTGATGAAATTCCGCGCGAAGATTCCCGCCGAACGATTTGCTCTTTAAACACAATCAAGCAAATTAAGATGCAAATCCGCGGCGATGTTCCGGGGCTCTTTCGCTAGCCGGGCTAAAAATCAACACCGCGTAGCGTCGGTGTGGAAGTCGCGTCCCCCCGGCGAAACGGGAGAACAAATTAAAAGATCAGTTTTCCGGGGGCCGACGCTGTAATTTACGATTCTCCTCTTTGTTGCCACTCCCCTCGACCATTCCGCCTTGAAAAAAATCCACCCGAAGCAGAAACTTTTACGAGATCGCGTTCTTCGGGAAGCTGTTATATCCATCAATCGGCGAACTACCCATTCATCTCCTTCGTACGAAGCGCTATTCTTTCTGTTATAGTAAATTCGGCCTCGGTCATGATTAAATCTCGAGAAAGTCCAACGGCTCGGGGAATGTGTTGCGAGTCGTAAAATCAGAACGCGAAGCACGATTCCTGATCCGCGACCTGCGAAATATTTTTTTCTTTTACAAAATAACGCAGACATTTGGAACGCCTGCTAGACACGTGCCTTCCAAATTAAAACACCGTGTTGTACAAATTCGATTCGCATAAATTGCCGCGAGAGAAAGTCATCGTTTCATCCCACAAACGTCGCAGCGTACTTCGTTGTACGAAAAATATGTTTGTAGAAGATTATACGTCGCAGAAATGATATTGCAAGAATAATGAAAAAATTGAACAGTTATTTTGAAGAACTTTCTTCGTTGAATCGTTTTAAAATGAGTATATACAGTGACTCGCATTAATATTCGGACAGCATATTGTTAGAAGAATTATTGCTCCTTCTTATTGTTGAAGATAGTATTATTGAATCAATTGTTTTCTCATATAATCAAACACTTCTTAAAGTAAGTAGAAACATAAATTTTGTTTATTTATTCCACATGGTTTTTTGTATAATAAGCGATAAACAAGATTGTGACAAAATTTAACATCGCAAAAATATTCGGACAGTGAATGTGAATTACATTAATTTTATATAAAATGAAAATCTTTTTAATCATGTTATCATAATATTATCTTAGTTCATAACAATGTGTAATAAATAAACAAAATTTATATTTCTACTTACTTTAAACAATAAAAAGGAGCAATAATTCACTGGAGTCACTGAACTTCGCAGTGGATGAGTATAATCGACATTCATCGAACGTCGTCGTAATACTTGTCGGTGAAACGAGAGTCGACGTAAACATTTGCTGGTGATTTCGTCGTATCGGTATGTAATCGTAATGTCGTTGAAATCGCGTCGATGAAAACATTGTCGGTGTAATAATTGCTGGCGATTTTTCAAGGTAACCCGAAAGTTTGGCGTTTGGCGATACGTCGTAGCTTCGCCGGATGTAGCGAAGGGCGCCGGCCGCGGGTGCTCGTTACGAAAACAAAAGCGGAACCCCGGGAAATTACGTGGAAGGGTTACGGGTACGGAAAACGGTCGTCGGGGCTCGGCCCCGAAAACTTTGGGATCCGAAGGAATGCTGGCACAATGCGAAAAACTATAAAACAGACGGTCGAACGAGCCCGCGTTACGACGCGACGAAGTAAGTTTTCCGCGCGAAGGACGAGCAACGACTTTTGAAGTTTTCATTTAGCACCGCGGACGAACCGTCTCCGACCGAGCGCATACTTAACGATCCCCACTTTGTCCGTTTTTACGACCAGCAATCGTAAAACTGCTCTCTCGATGTCTCAACCGTTATGATGGCCACGCCGCGCCGCGCCGCGCCGGCTCGTTCCTCAATCTTATTCGTTTCTTTCCCGCGAAGTTTATCGTCAGACACCCGTGAGAAATAATCATTTCCTTTTCGGTCGTTGCATATGTCTGAAGAGACAAAACGTTCCCGAGTCCTTGCGCCGAACGCAGAAAATCCGCGGTCACTAAATATGCGCGAGTATTCCGTGAAAAATTATCAATATTAACCCTTAAGGGACCAAAACTATTTCCAATTTACACACTGCCAAGTCTGCCGGACTGTTTCTCAGACGAAGAGAAATTTTTTACTGAAAATTTTTTTTAATAAAACTTCGTTGATATATTTTCATCGAAACAATCGTGTCGATTCTTCCAATGTTTCCTGCCAGATTTTACGGTTTTATTGATTTCTGCCGCGTGTATGGCGGCATTGGACCGTTAAGGGTTAATCGTTTGCAGTCTAATGCATCATTAAAAATTGTTACACCGCGTTTCGAAATAATTTCCACATTATCAAATTTGTTTATATTTTAAACACTGTTAAAAGTGTAACTGTTGCGTGGGTTACAGAGTTCAATTATACATATATATATAAAATACGCCAGGTTATATAAAATGGAAATACTGAAGGTCAGATAAACTATTTTGGATAACGGGTTAATAGACTCGAGAGAAAAATCAAAGACGAGAAACTGGCGATAAGTGATTTCTTAGCGCGACAAAGCAACCCTTTTACTACCTTTTACGACAGCGTATTTATATCTGACAGGAATTTAACCTTTTTACCTCTTATAATATAAATCGAAAAAAATATAATTAGAGGCATAAAAGACGCACGAAACTATTAATATCACCTGAAATACGGAATAAACTTTTTACGGAATTCACTGACGAATAACATAAAATATTCATATCTGTAACGACGTCAATATGATCGAAGAATTTTTCATTACTACATCTGCAACTATTTCACGGATATAATAGCTTAGACTGTAATCCGTATTACAAGGGGAAAAATAGCGAGATTAAAATTTGCAAGGACAAAGGGTGACGGGATGTTTAATTAAATTTTAAAAAATACATCGCCCGTGCGGACGACGGAATACCGTGCCGAATTCCAATCTACCCGGGAGCTGTTAATCGGCCGATGAAAACCGAGCCGATTCCAGGCGACGCAGTTTATCGTCGAGTCGTGAAAAAACAGGGAGACCCCATCGGACGACGACGCGCGAAGCGACGCGACGCGACGCGATGCGACGCCGCGACGTAGACGGAAATCGAATTTTCTCCGCGCTTAAATCGCGCCGTGCGAACGGCGCAGCCTCTGTCGATTTTACATTATGCGGTGGCGCGAGGAAGAGGCTGCAATCTCTTTCACAGTTCACCGATTAAATCGATTGTCTGACGCTTCGCCGGTGGAAGTTTGATATATTGAGGCGCAACCGGCGAAAGGGAAAGGGTGGAGAAACGGGTGGAGGAGGAGAAGGAGGACGAACAGAGGGTGGAGACCAGGCGCGGACAGGAACAGGGAGTCGGAAATCGAGAGAGAACGGGAAACGGAAGTGTCTCGACTCGCGATCGGAGGTGGGCACGATTGTGTTCGAATCGACTACAAAGGAGAGCATGCTATCCGAAAACTTCGCGCTTTTACAAACTTCCATTCGACTGTACATGTGTCACGGGGCTTGGTAATTAATAGCCCGAGCTTCGCGCGTTTATGGCATTTCACAAAGTATGTTCTGTGCTTATTCTGTTTTGCAAAATGGCAAAATTCATAATAAAGTTTAATCATGATGGAACGGGGATGCATGCGGCAGGGAATTATATGCCACGCAATTGTTCAAATTAAATTAATTCAAATTAAACAAAGGAACATTCATTCAAATTAAATTAAATTATCGTAAAAGAAACATCGATTCTTTATTGTGTACAGTAGAACTCTATTATTATCTATACACGTTTTACATCTAAACACTCCAAACATAAGTTTCGTTTTTTACGTTCGTTACTAAGGTTTTATTAAATGTATCTCTTTCAGAATCATTAAAACAATTTCGCAAAGGAAGATTTCTTGAATATTTCCTTTGCTACGACGTTAACAATAGTCCTCGTAATTGGTTCCTGATATTTTCTTCCACAATTGCAGAAATCATTGAATCGTTTCTATGAAATTCTTTTTAGACGAACTTCTCCTCGTTCGAGCATATATTATAATAGAAATATGCAAAAAAGAAATTGTACGAAATTTAAATAAATCCCTTCTTGCAATTTAGTGCTAAATAGCAACGTGTAAAAAAATAATTTGACTGTCTCTATGCAAAGTAAATACTTCCTAATTTTCCTTCAGCTTGTAAACAAAAATGTACAATTTAGGAAGAGGA